ATTCCCAGTGCAGGGCACATGCCTGAGTTGCAGGTATGGTCCCCCATGGTAGGGAGCATGTGAGATGCAACTGCACATTAATGTTTCCCTCTCTTTCTCCCTTCCCCTCTCTAAAGATAAATAAATAAAATATTTTTTTAAAAGGTGAAGGGATCAAGCAAAAAAAACCCCCCAAAAAACAAAAAAACAAAACCTTATAGACACAGACAACAGCATGATTATTACCAGAGAGAAAGGGGGTTGGGGGAGGTAGGAGAGGGTACAGGGAGATATATGGTGATGGAAGGAGACTGGACTTGGGGTGATGAACACACAATACAATATGTAGAAGATGTATTATAGAATTGTACCTGAAAAAAAGAAAAAAATTAAGATAACAGAATCAACTGTACAAATAGTGAAGCATAAGAACTTGTGTTAGAGAAAATTAGTTTTCTAATAGTTAAATTTGTTAGATACTGAAATGGGTGATAAAAGAGGATTGTGGAATCAGTTTCAATGGACTTTAAAAAACCTTCCTGTATCTGGGATGGTGTAGTGCTCTTGCTAAAGCTAAAGAGAGTTTATAGAGTATGATTTTACAATTTATGTAAGAAGGTGTTGAATGCATCAGACAACAAGATGGTATCCAATCATAACACTGTGTCTCAGATGTATTTGTCCAAGGGACAGGCAGGATACCTTCCTGTAAATCCAAGTTCTGCCTCTTCCTTGCTATGTGATGTTGGACAGGTTATTTAACATTTCCAAATCTTGGTGTCCTCAATTATAAATTGGGGATGGTATTAATAATAATGCCCACTGACCCTGACAATTGTGGTATACCAAGAATATGAAAAAAGTATATGAAAGTACTCTGTAAATTATAAAATAGCATTTTTTAACCATTCAGTTACATATTTAATAGTTATAGAGATCCAAAAGAATATTAAGCATCAAATCTTGAGATCATGAGTGAACTGTCCTCAGTGGACTGGTTTTACTAGGCTGGATGTGTGCCAACCTTCCTCTGACCCACTCAGGCTGCTTCAACCAACCAGGGAAGGGATCTGATCACTATGCCAACTTTTGTATTCTCTCAATCTTATGTACTATATGTTTAGTTTCAATTAAGCATCTGTACCAATAGCTCTGGAGCTTGGAGGAAGAATAAAGGAATGTGCAGTGAGTCCAAGTAATGTGTGGGCCTATGCAGCAGAGCTATTCTTGGGGAAGAAAAGTGTTTTTTCTTCCAGTACTAGGACAGTCACAAGTGGCAATCCTATTCAATTGGGCCATGATGACTAACAAGCTGGACTCCATCCTCTTCGTCTCTGAACCATAACAGATTTTTGCTCTCTTGGGTGAGAGGCAAGGAGCTTGCAATTGGGAAATTTCAGTGAACGAGCACCATGACACGGCCATTTCTCATCCCTTCATCCAGCTGTGGTCAAAATGAAGCAAAGGAGGCACTTAACAAGAAAATGCTTACTCTGGCAGAAAAGAGAATGGTAGTCCTGCCCTTATTTGCACTAGTCATTACAGTTCCTGACCATTTTTAAATGCCATGATGCTACTTGATTCCCTTCACTGCATAAGTAAGTTCTAGGTTTACAATCAAACAATTCTAAACCTCAGTCTCTATGATGCTTGAATTTTCAGGTTGCCTTTGAGGTATTTAGTCACACCAACTATTAACTTCTGTCACAGACAGTGTTGCTTTGCAAGGGTCTGCCTTCTTGTTTACTGGCAATCAGCGAATTAATGCTCTAAAATTGAGACATTTTATAGAAACTGCCCAAGACCCTAATGGCTATGAGATTTCTATTTGTGGGCCATAAAGATTCCATACTCTGGTTGAGATGTACTCAATTGTGTGAGTTCTGTTCTCTCAGGACATTATAAGGAAAGCAAAATGATAGAGGGAAAAAGGATACCAGAGTGGGAGTCCAGCTATCTCAAAATACTGGGAGACTATAAGCAAGTCATGGAAGGCCTCAAACTCCTTATGTGCAAGTGGTCTCTTGCGCTGAATAGTCTTGAAGTCCCTTTCTGAGCCTGAGGTCTCATATGGTCAGTAAAATGTCTGAATGCCTGGGTCCTTAAGAAAATAGGCGTGTCCCTCCCTTCTGACTTAGGCTAGATTTGCAGACTATGATGTTTCCCTAGTCCCCAATAACAACCCACTGCCTCCTGATCTGCCCTGGCTACCCAGAGAGAAATAAAAGAAAGGGTTTGTGACATACAAAAGTAAAAATGTAGTGACAGCTGACCATTTAGTAGAAATGAGCCTTGCCTTTACACAGCTTTGTATAACAACTAGAAAAGGCACTGTTTTTCCTCTCCCTACCCTCAAGCTTATTCCTTTAGGCATTCAGGTTTTTCCTCTCCCAACTCCCACTTCTTATGCCACCAGGAACAAAGTCTTATAAAGAAGAGCTCTCAAGTACCCATCAGCAGCCATTTGAGATCACAGGTAGGCCTGATGCTAAGAAGAGGCTGTGTCCAGCAGAACCCAATTCCATAGGAATCCAAGCTCCAAGGCTCGGAGGCAGCTGCTGTTGAGGACAAACTCACTCCTGAGAATTGGTCTCCCATTGGAGGATGTCATGTCTGTGCAGACCCAGGACACATTTTTGTAGATGGTGATTATGTCGATGCAGAGAGGCAGCTGCATCTCTGTCACCCAGCACACCACCAGCCCACTGGCCACGCACAGCAGTAGCTTCAGCACAGCCCAGGACCACTTGTGTTTCTGGGGTGGGCTTACAGAACAGAGAGCTGGACTTGGATTGCAGGGCCTGATTTGTTTCCTTCTTAGGTTTATTCTGCTCCCATCTGGATGCTTTGAGGGCATCGTACTCCTTCTCTTCCAGTGCTCCTTCTCTTCCGCCTCTCCTGCTTCCAGAGTTCCCACTCCTGAGCCTCCTCAGCTAGCTGCTTAGCCTCTAGCCTCTTCTCAGCCTCTTGTTCTAATACTTCCAGCTGCCGCTGCCTCTCTCACTGCCGGTCCACTTGCACAGCCTTTGTGTGCTGTATGTAACACCTTGTTGGCACACTGCTTAAACTGCTTCTCATCTAAGTGATCCCCTGCCACTTTAGTCAGGACAGGATCTAAGGGGTTGTCCTTCATTCCAGCCACTTCAGGCTCTTGAGCTGAGCAGAGCTGCCAGGCAGGGTGACCAGCTTTCTGTTGAGGACATCATGCTGGAGGTTGACCAGAGGGCTAAAGTTGGCAGCAGTTGCTGCAGTTTGTTATTACTCAGGTCTAGCCCAGCAGGTGTGTGAGGCCACAGAAATCCAATGGTAGAGTAGTCAGTTTATTGCAGGACAGATCCAGTACAGTGGCCTTTGGAAGGGCAGCCAGCTCCTTGATTGGGACCTCATTCAGGTCATTGAGGCTCAGGTTCAGTTTCTTGCCTTCCAGCTTGTCATGGAATTCCTGCACTTGCTACTGGCCTTGGTCATGGTGACACAGGCTAAGTGAGTCCCCACTCTGGGGTTTCGATTGGCAGGAGATGCCTGAGAAGCAGCTCCTCGGCTCAGGGAACTCACACTGGACCTACAAGGCCTACGTCCTCTGCTGCCCCAGGTATGAAAATCTGCCACCTGTCTTCCCCCTGGCCACATCATGATCCCTGTGTCCTGCTCACACTGGTGATTCTATAACGTTTTTATGGTTGAATATTTTTTTTATCAAGTCTGGAATTGGAAACTAGTTCAAGAAAATAACCTCTTTATAATGTAGTGCTACATCTAGACTTAAAGTATTCTGCTTGCCAACACCAGGCTCAGATATAAAATTGTTTTTTCCATTATGGAGATATTTAGAACCAGGTTAAGACATTGTAAATCTCTGATTTATATTACTTTGGGTGTTTTAATACCAAAATAAAGGTTATTACCTTTACTAGAAACTGCTATAAGTAAAAGTCTGTTCAAAAAGTCTGATAGCTGAAGGAAGGTAAATCAAAACACAGTTTTCCAATAAAGAGTCAGCAAGAGAAGGTAAGGGAGTTTCTTCTGTTATAACTTCTTTGGGCTGGGCAAGAACTCTTTACTTTTGTCATTATGGATTTGAGACTGCTTTGCTTTGCTTTAGTCTTATTAATATAACTCACTCTAAAACTGGACTTTCCAGGTACAGAATCTGGGCCTAGATAATCTAACTGGGTGAATATTTAGAAAGGCTTGTTTCCCAGCTCTGCTCCCCACCTTAATGAGCCTCAAATTATTATTCAAAATCTCTTTCAGCTACTGCATTATTGCAACTAGCCACTAAAAATTACTCTCTGAAGCCTGTTATTAACAGCATAAACAAATGTTGGAGACACAGTAGTAATCATAGCATTACATAAAGACAAAGAATAGGTGGCAATGGGGGTACATATTATGAGAACTTAACTTTCAGCTCTTCACAAAAATATTTCAAGATGACTCAATAATCTGGTGGGAGAAAGGTGGAAGGGCAAAGTTCTGCTTCCTTGTTTTTCCTTTGCTCCTCTGCTTTTTAGAAAAGCAGATTACATGCTTTGCCTGCAATACTATCTCTTTTTTTCACATATTTAAACCATTCTAAAAGGCAATGGGAATGAGAGTTTACAGAAAATATAAGCAATGTAAATAAGTCAGGGTAGAAAAGGTAAGCTGTTGCCCACTGATAGAATTAATTCAAGCAAAGTACCATGAGTGACCAACTGGCAGAAGTGTTTACAAAAATGCATAGCACTGTTTATTTTATTTTCTGATTTATCTTATTAGCTATTAATCATGGTATCACAAAGCTGGTAATGAACCTCCCAGGCTGCCATCTCATCCTAACTAAGCCAATTATATTTGCTAAACAAATCTGCCCATACTTGTCCTTGCCCATCCAGAGGGAACTTATAAGGTTGACATGTTATATAATATTTCTAGACACTATTTGCTCACTACACTACATTGGTTGTAGTAACATAGTCTTCATTACTGCTTGGACTGCTGGGTGGAGAAAAGAATTCCTTCTTTTTGAGCCTACTTACCTCGGTTGTGATCATCATTGTCTTCCCAGGCCTCTTCATTTGCTAGCAGTGGATTCTGTGACTCATTCATAGACCTCATAGGGAAGGAGTGTCCATCACCAGGGCTGTTGGGAAAGGAAGGCAGTGAACTCTTGCAACTGACATAGACTTTTTGTAAGGTAATAATGCTAGTAGAAATAAGAAGGTTCTTAGCAACATTTAAACCATTTAGCTTATTGGCTAGAGCCGTAGAGGAACAGAATCTTATAATAGCACCATTTAGTTGCTGTATTGCTTTCAATTTTTTATATCTTGTTTCTTTGTCTGCATCACTGTTGACTGGGCATTGTGAGAAACAAGTTAAAGTGTTGCTTACAAACAAAAACATCTTATATGTGCATAAAATGCCTCATAAATACTATTTAATGATGATTATCCCAATTACATCCGTCTTACTGTTTGCTTCTAAATTTTCAAAGAAAATTACCAGATTCAGTATAATTGAATACAGTGGAGTTAAGTTGCTGTGAATTGGTGACAGATAATAATATTTGACTGCCACACTCTTTGGTCTGTATAGCAGAAAGGTTATCAAGAACTGGGGAAAAGGGCCCTGGCTGGTGTGGCTCAGTGGACTGAGTGCTGGTCTGCAAACTAAAGGGTCGCAGGTTCGATTCCCAGTCAGGGCACATGCCTGGGTTGCAGGACAGGTCCCCAGTAGAGGGTGCTCCAGAGGCAACCACACATTGATGTTTCTCTCCCTCTCTCTTTCTCCTTTCCTCCCCTGTCTCTAAAAATAAATAAATAAAATCTTTAAAAAAAGAATTGGAGAAAAGAGACAGAGTGAGTCATCCCAAGAGTGCAGATTCTGGGTACAATTATCCACATGTAGAATCCACCTTATGGATATCTATGGTAACATAGGACTACTTCCTAGGTTAATCTATGGCCACTAGGAAGAAACTGAGCTGGCCATAACTAAAGTGGGTTATAATTTGAACATTTGAGTCTATGTATCTGAATGCATTACAAATTTGTAGAAGTGACTTTTGCATTATTCATTCTATATTACCTATACCTTTTATTCTGTTCACAAATGTGTTTGACTCAAAGTTAACAGACTTCAGGTCCTCTGCCCACTTTTTAACTGGACTGTTTGTTTGTTTCTTTGTTTTTGGTGTTGAGTTGTATGAGTTCTTTTTGGATATTAACCCCTTAACAGATGCATCATTGACGAATATGTTCTCCCATTTAGTGGGTTATCTTTTAATTTTATTGATGGTTTTCTTTGCTGTGCAAAACCTTTGTAGCTTGATATAGTCTCATTTGTTTATTTTTTTCCTTTGTTTCCCTTGCCCAAGGAGATATAGCAGGAAAAAAATATTTCTAAGATAAATGTGAGAGTTTTTTCTTCTACGAGTTTTATGGTTTCACATCTTACATTTAAGTCTTTTCTCTATTTTGAGTTTAATATTTTAAGTGTATTTTATTGATTATATTATTACAATTGTCCCAATTTTCCCCCTTTGCCCCTCCTTCCACATGGTATGTCCCTTCTTTTCAGCAATCTCCCCTTTAGTTCATGTCCATGGGTTGTGCTTGTAAGTTCTTTGACTTCTCCATTTCCTATACTATTTTTATATCCCCCTGTCTATTTTGTACCTACCCATTATGCTTTTTAATACCTCCACCTTTTCCTGTTCTCCCCCTTCCACCTCCGAGCTGATAACGCTCCAAATGATCTCCACACCTATGATTCCATTCCCGTTTTGGTTGTTTACTTAATTTTTTTAGACTCAGTTGTTGATAGTTGTTGATAGTTGCCTTTTTAATGTTCATGGTTTTGTTCTTCGTTTTCTTAGATAAGTCTCTTTAACATTTCATGTAACAACAGTGGCTTGGTGATGATGAAGTCCTTTAGCTTTACATTCTCTGGGAAACACTATATCTGTCCTTGCATTCTAAATTATAGCTTTGCTGGATAGAGTAATCTAGGTTGTAGGTCCTTGCTTTTCATCACTTTGAATACTTCTTGCCAGTCCCTTCTTGCCTGCAAAGTTTCTTTTGAGAAATCTGCTGATAGTCTTATGTGTACTCCTTTGTAGGTAACTTTCCGTTTTTCTCTTGCTGCTTTTAAGATACTCTGTTTATTTTTAACCTTTGGCATTTTAATTATGATGTGTCTTGGTATGGTCCTCTCCGGGTTCAACTTGATTGGGGCCCTCTGTGCTTCCTTGACTTGTATGCCTATTTCCTTCACCAAATTAGGGAAGTTTTCTTTCATTTTTTTTTTTCAAATAAGTTTTAAATTTCTTGCTCTTCCTCTTCTCCTTCTGGCATCCCTATGATTCAGATGTTGGGACTTTTGGAGATGTCCCAGAGTCTTCTTATACTATCCTTTTCTTAAAAAAAAAAAATCTTGTTTCTTCTTTCTGTTCTGGTTGAATGTTTATTTCTTCCTTGTGTTCCAAATCATTGATTTGAGTCCCAGCTTCCTTTCCTTCACTGTTGGTTCCATGCAGATTTTTCTTTATTTCACTTAGCGCAGCCTTTGTTTCTTCCTTTGTGTTGTTGCCATACTCAATGAGTTCTTTCAGCATAGTGATCACCAGCGTTTTGAACTGTGCATCTCATAGGTTGGCTATTTCCATTTCATTTAGATCTTTTTCTGTTCTTTTATTTGGACTATATTTCTTTGTCTCCTCAATTTGGCAGCTTCCCTGTGTTTGTTTCTGTGTATTAGGTAGAGCTGCTTTGACTTCCTATAAAGGGCACCTGTCTGGATGAATGTGGCTTCTTTAAATCTTTGGTTGTCAGACTTCTATACAGTTTGGTTTTCTGACAGTTCTGGGTGTTATTTGTTTTCAGATTTAGTTGTATATCTTTTTGTGGTTGTGTGAAGAGGTGAAACATGTCTATCTATAGCTCCATCTTGGCCAGTGAGTTCATTCTTTTATACAATATAAGAAGGTTTTAAATTTCATTTTCTTGTACATATTTGTCCAATCTTCCCAAAACCATTTCTTGAATAGACTATCTTTACCCCATCGTATATTCTTGCCTCCTTGTCATAGATTAATTGACCATATAGGTGTGGGTTTATTTCTCGGCTCTCTAATTGGTGCATTGATTTATATGTCTGTTTGTATGCCAGTACAATGCTGTTTTCATGTCTAAGGCTTTGTAGTATAGTTTGATATAAGGTAGAGTGAGTCCTACAACTTTATTTTTCTTTCGCAAAATTGCTGTGGCTATTTGGGGTCTTTTTTGGTTGCATATACATTTTTGAAATTTTTTTCTAGTTCTGTGAAATACAGCATTGGTAGCTTGACAGAAATTGTGTTGAACCTGTAGGTTTCTTTCTGTAGTATGGACATTTCAATGATGTTAATTCTTCCTATCCATAAACACAGTAAATGCTTCCACTTATTTGTAGCTCCTTAAATTTCTTTCTTTAGTGTCATACAATTTTCTAAGTACAGGTCTTTTACCTCCTTGGTTTAATTTATTCCTAGGCATTTTACTTTTTCTTTTTCTCCCTGAGTTTGTTATTGGTACATAAAAATGCAACTGATTGCTGAATATTAATTTTGTATCCTGCTACTCCACTTTATATTCATTTATAAGTTCTTGTAGGTTTTGGTGGGATCTTTAGGGTTCTGTATATATAGTAATATTCCATCTGCAAATAATGACAGTCTGGCTTCTTCCTTTCCAATTTGGATTTTTGTATTTCATTTTGATGTCTAATTCCTGGGGCTAGGGCTTCCAATACTATGTTGAATATGAGTGGTGAAAGTGGACATCTTTGCCTTGTTCCTGATTTTAAAAAATACTTTTAGCTTTTTACCATAAGTATAACATTTGGAAGAATCAAAATAGTTAAATGGCCATATTATCCAAAGCAATATACAGATTTAATGCAATCCCCACCAAAATCCCAATGTAATTTTTTAAAGAAATAGACCAAAAAAATCACGAGATTTGTATGGAACCACAAAAGACCCTGAATAACCAAAGCAATCCTGAGAAAAAAAGAACAAAGCTGGAGGTATCACAGTACCTGACTTCAAATTATACTACAGAGCTATGATAATCAAAATAGCATGGTATTGGCAGAAAAGCAGACACACAGATCAATGGAACAGATTAAGAGCCCATAAATAAAACTGCATGTATATGGGAGATAATTTTTGACAAAGGAGCCAAAAACACACAATGGGGAAAAGAAATCCTCTTCAATAAATGGTGCTAGGAAAATTGGAAAACCACATGCAAAAGAATGAAACTAGATTACAGTTTGTCCCCATGCACAATAATTAATTCAAAATGGATCAAAGACCTAAATATAAGGTCTGAAACAATAAATTACACAGAAGAAAACATAGGTATTGTTTTCAAGGTCTCTGAACTTATGGACCTTGGTTGTAAAGAAGAGTTTATGTTTGCCCCCAAAGGCAAGGTAAGTAAAGGCAAAAATAAATGAATGGGGCTATATCAAACTAAAAAGCTTCTGTATAGCAAAAGAAGCCAACAATAAAACAAAAAGGGAACTGACCAAATGGGAGATTATATTTACAAACAACAGCTCTGACAAAGGGTTAATATCTAAAATATATAAGGAAAACACACAACTCAACACCAAACAAAAAATCCTATTAAAAATGGGCAGAAGAGAAAAGAAAGAAAAAGAAGAGAAAAAAATGGGCAGAGGACCCAAACAGACAGCTCTCCCAAGAAGACATACAGATGGCCAGCAGATATATGAAAAGATGTTCAACTTCACTAGCTAGTAGGGAAATGCAAATCAAAACTACAATGAACACTAAAATCCTCAACAAAATATTAGCAATCTGGATTCAAAAATACATTAAAAAGATCATATACCATGATCAAGTGGGATTCATCCCAGGGATGCAAGGATGGTATGATATTCCCAAATCAATAAAGGTAATATAGCACATAAACAAAATGAAGGACAAAAATCACATGATCTTATCAATAGATGCTGAAAAAGCATTTCATAAAAATCCAGTACCCATTTATAATACAAACACTCAACAAAGTGGGAATAGAGGGAGCATACCTCAACATAATAAAGGCCATATACAAGAAACCTATAGCC